GGACAGTTATATCATGATTATAAATTTTATCAACGTCATAAACTCCATAATGGTCATTATTAGATTCTACTCTCTAATGCAAAGAGTATTCGATGAAAATCAGAACTTCTTTTATACATTGTAAGTATGTAAAATAATTACATTTATTTGATATCCTTGTATTTTTTTATGCAGAGTTCGGGCTATATTCAATATAAACGTATCCCAATTGTTACGTTCCGGTTTGTCGAACGACAATAAAGTAATAGCAAACGCTATTATTCAGTCAAGATTCATGCAACCTTTAAACCCCAACCGACGCGTACGTTCGATTCTGATCGGTATCCACAGTATAGTCATTTGCTAATCTGAGGTGCCTTCATTACTAGAGGGAAGACAGCTCAATAAATGGTATTTGAATTGGTCTTCTGGAATTGGTGTCTTGGTTTCTGTGATCGAGTGCAAATAGAAACACTTAAAATCTTATTTTATTGCTTGTTGGAATGGAAATAGTAGGATCCTCTGGAGTCAGATCGACACTGAATGCTCCTCACTCGAAATTCCGTAACTCAGTGAATTAAACAAGATTGTATGCACTTGTCGACCGATCACGTGATTGCGAAGGTGTACCATTGTCGGCACCAAGATGCACTGTTGGGCAAGGTCAGTACTATAAAGTAATATTCGCAATTACTTTATAGGCCAAAGGGATGCGTAGTACATTTACATTACGTTTATGCGTTTATTGGCCCTATCTACAGGACCAAGGCCATACAGACGCGTCCCCTGCAATCTTATTACTAAAGCCCGGAACTTCGGTGTTATAATTTCGAAATGAGAACGTCCAAGGTGTCACGTCGGGAAAAACGCTAGGTTGCGCGATGTACAACCTGTCGGTCCAGCCGACACGTACGTCCGATTCTAACTAAAATCCCCGGTGTTCTTCTAGGTTGGTGCTGTTAGGAGTCAGAGAACTGATGTTCGAATGAGAGTGATTTCTCTAATGAAATTTGGATGTCACCAGAAGCTTGATGAATAAATATTTATAAACTATAGTTTATAACATATATGTGTCAAAATACGTGTCATATTGATAGAAAGCTTGTGTCAAGATTTATCACTAATGATTTACAACTAGAGCTGAGACAAAAGTGGAATACAAAGACTAAGATTGAGAGTGTGCGGAAAAACTACGAAGACTAACTGACTTCTAATTGACAGAGACTACTACGGAACTGCGCGGAAAAGCTCACTAATGGATCTTGAAGATTAACTAACTGTCTCTTAACTTTTATCCCGTTTTATAATATTGGTTATCGATGGTACGCTACGATTTCGCATCCGGTTAGTTCATTGTCGCTTGGAGAAAGAATATCGAAGATGGTGTTCATTGAATATAGTATCGAAGTTCATTCTCGTTCACCGTTTAATCTGCACCGCAAAAACCACTTGAAGCCGATTGCTCTACAACAAAGACCGATCTAAATTCCTCATAATTGATTCATTCTGTCTTTGCTCATACACTTGGTGCAGAACAACCTGTATCAAATAAGACGCCGAATCGCCTCGATAACTCTGGAGACTAAACAAACGTCGGTCATCCGACG